GGGAGGAAGATCTGTTAGTTGTGGCAGAAGACCTGACCTTTAGCCACCATCGGGCTCCAGTTGCTGCACTTAAAGGGTATGGAATTGCAGGAAGGAAGGGGTTTGTGAGCTTTTTCTGGAAGGCCCTCTGAAATCCATGTTGTATGGGGGGATGCCACATTCTTTGGAGTTATTGTTGCAGTCTTCCAACCCTACAGTATGCTTTCTCAAGTCCCTCAAAAGACGATTCAAGAGTGCCCTTATGTTTCCCCTTGTATGAATATTTTCAGACCAGATTTTTTCTGTTAAGTGAATTTGAGAAATAAGCCTAGCATAGAGAGGGGAAACTGGTCTGGTGCAAGTGAATCCTATTTAAAATCCTTCACTATAAAAGCATTAGGTTAGGCCTGTACAATTATGTTCAGTCCTGTCCTGATGGAGGCAGACTGGGTTAGCCTTTAATTTGCAATCGTGAAGAAGCGTATGACTAAATTTAAGAATTTTTAAAATTGGATGATAAATCCTACAAAGGACATGGTTCAGACAAGATACATACATGATGATGTTGAATGTACAACCTTAATCTTAAGTAATGTCAACTATAAAAACATTAAAGCTTTGGAGACAATATTGAAGACCTGAAAATATTTAGCACCATAATAGAAATGTTGAATTTGATATTAAAGGTTTAATGGAAGGTCTAAAGGATAATACGAAGGCCTAACTATTTGCAGGAGTGTCAAGGCCCTGGCAGGAAAGTTAAGAGCCCACCTCACTTCTGCTTGTTTCCCCAGGTTAATGTGTCTTTGAGTCTGCTGTAGTCAACCAACTAATTTTTATGTTTTCTAAGAACGTGCAAGTTATTTAACCTCTTGGATACGGGGAAACTGAAAAAGGGGGAAAAGAGGGTTTTGTCCAGCTTTGTACAAGACTTTTGTGGGTGTGTCAAGCACTAGTATCTATACCAGCCTGAAATACTAGGTAACTTTTGTGATGGAAGAAAACAATGTGGCAATTCTGCTGATCATAATGGCTTAAGAAAACAAAACCCTGTGTTGGTTAGGTATATTTTTTTCCCACTCTTGATTACATGGTAATTCCCCATTGTATAACACAGATGCCTATTTAATCAGTCTTTTTTTTCTTAAATCTTAGAGATAGTGAACAATGCATTTGTTAGTGCCTCTATCAATGTATCTTTAGAACACTACTGTAAAACTGCACCACACAGACAAGTCCATTTATTCAATAGCGATAGAGCATTGTTCCTTGGGTTAATAGGCAGCCTCACTGGCTGTCACTTCCTTCTGCCACACATTCCCTCTAGCATGTGTTGGAGGCTTACGCTGATCCTTTACTGCCCTGCAGCCACCCAGTGCTAAGCTGATTTTGCTGGATCCTCTGGTATTTCATTCCTCCAGTCCTTCTCTGTCTTCCGTTCTAACCAGAGCAAACACTTCAGAGTTTAGCAGCAGCTAAAAGCTTGCTCCTGAAAGGAATGGTGATTTGAATAAATGAATAGTACTACAGTCACCATCCACTTTCCCAAGCAGAATGTGGCTTTATGGTCAGTTAAATCAAAGGTTTGGTGCAGAGGTAATCTGGATTGCATGCATTCTCTTTGCTGTTCTGCAGAAGTATAGGAAATTTGGATTTCACTAGGGGACAAAGTGGTGGAAATCAAAATGTTCCCAAGTCAGGCAATGTCATTATGGTTGCCAGTTCACACTACTTAGGAGTCTACCCTTGAATAATTATCTTCAGTCCTTGCACCTGACCTTACCTCCTTCTCAGGAGCATTATTAATGATTGCTATGGACAACTGGATGTTGAAAGACACTCTCTTACCATTTTGGATTAGGATTCTCAGAAAAAAGGTTTTCGAAATTCTGCATCCAATAGACATATTTCTGATTGGAATAACTGGGAAGAAAAAAAAAACAAAAAACACACAAATAACACAAAACAAACCCTCTCCCCAAAACGCCAGGGTTTGTGACCCAAACTGACATGCTAGAGAGCACCCTGATCTTATCCTTGGGACCACAATTCACTAGGCTTTCATAGTTGCGTTTCTGGACATCCTACTCAGGATTAATTAGGAAGCTCCATTTCCAGGATTGATCCTTCCATTGGAGTTCTTTGAACACAAGCAGCATTTTCACTAGTTTAAATTACTGGTGAATTCTTCATAGCTTCCCCTGTACATGAGTTGTCCCTGAGAGGCAATGTGGGGTTAGAAATGCCTCCCAAGTAAGTCCAGCACAGGCTTGGATTCACTGGAATCAGAGGCTACTCTCAAAAAAGTCTGTTTTTATCTAAGATTATTTATGATCTAAGTGGGGACTTTGAATTAAACTGCCCCGTTTCCCTTGCCTCCTTGCCATCTTTCCTTTGGTCAATTAGCTGCCTCATCAACATCATGATAAGTGATACTAAGAGCCCCACACCACCTTTGCAATGAAAAGCCACAGGAAGGCTACAAAGTCTGGCAGGGAAATGCTGCATATCTTCTCTGATAGAATTTCAAAGGCAATGTGTTGATTTAAAGAGGATCTGCAGCTCAACTGCTAGCAAACGGGGCGAGTCTAGGACCTCCTTATTCTCATGTGAAGACTTGAAACCTGGGGAATCCTTGTACCCCCTACTCCCACCAGAGGATGATTTGCATTTGGAATCTTATCTCTTCTGAGCTGCAAGTCAGTATCTCTTGCTGCCTCCTCTCTTCACAGGTTTTTCCTCAATGGACAAGCCAGAAAGAGCACACACACACCACAAAAACAAACAAGCAAACAAACCAAACCAACCAAACAAACAAAAAAAAAACCCAAACAAAGAAAAGCAAACAAGATATGATTCCTCAACAAGGCAACCAGAGATTTCAGCACGATAGCAACTTAAATGCTGTTCCTTAGGCAGCTGTGAGTCCATGTGATAAGACTACTGCTGCGAGGGAAGGCTTTTAGTCCCACTTAACCTTCTGTAGGATGTGCTCAGTAATGATGGATAGCTGCTGTATCCAAATGAAAACACAGCTGTCAGGGTTACAAATTGTTAGGATGTGGCATTTGAAATGAATACAAATTTGAAACAAGTGTTTTCAGCTGCACTAAGACCACAAGGTGCACGCATAGGTGGAGCTCCCTTTGAAGGAATTGGGCAACAAGAAGAAAGGAAGAATAGTTTCAAAAAAATAATTGAAAGTTAGATTTCTCACTTATTGTAATGGGATTGAGTGAAATCATTAATAAAAAAAATAAAATGACAAGCTGGGCCAACATAATGCACCTATTGCGCATTAAGTGCTAAGAGAAGTACATCTATGCCAAATAGTCTCCTAATTCCCACATAACCTGCTAAAGAAACATCCCTAATCCAGTCATGTTCCAGCTGGCTACTGCTGTCCAGAGATATGTACTTTTTTATAGCTCTGAGCACACTTTAAAATGTTCCATGTGATACCTGAGCATTCAGAAAACAAATATGATGCCCTGGGCAGGGTAACTGGTTGTGTCACATTGCAGTAACTGGGACCTTGGGTTACACATGGTCTAGGTTAAACCTGAAGCCAGAAGATAACATAAAACAGAGATTACAGTTCAAAAAGTGGGCCTCAAACATATTGCATTGTCACATCTGTAAGTGGAAGCTTGCTTAAACCTGTCTCTTGCCACGGTTAGATCTGCCACCAAAGGCAGCTCGGTTTCCCCTCATGTGGTTTTCAGAGGGGAACCAGATTCAGGCTGATGAGAAGAGACCACCAACATAGAATAACAGCAGTAGAAAATTCCTGCCCGTGGCCCAGAGCATAGATCTTTCTTCTGTCTGCTTATACCTCACATTTTTCCACTAAATTCATTCTTCAGTTACTTTGCCTCCCAGGTACAAGTGAAGATGTGGATTTGCAAAGTGGCTTGGGATGCAAACAGGATGCACACAGGGGCCTAGCTCAGGAGGGGAAGGAAAGCTCTTCCAGAGCTCCCCAGTGTGTGGGTGTCTCATCTCCTGGGTACAACAAGGCAGCTGTGACACCAGGAGCTACAAAGTTGGCTCTGTAAGAGGGTGGTTGCGTAGGTGCTCCAGAAGTTGTCAGACTGGTTATATTTGGCTGCACAAATCAAGTTATCAAACATGTTACACAACATTATTTTATTTACTCTTCTCCATTTTCTCCAGAATGCCCACAGTTAACCAGGTTTCTTGAAAAATATGTACAAAATCTTGTTCCACTGGGAAGGGCTTTTCCCTAGATCAGTCAGTGAATCACCGCCGTTCCAAAATAGTTTTCCTCCTCTGATGAAGGGCCTTTTGGTCAGGCCAGAGTACTGCACTTATGTCAGGCCCTGGTTTGCAGGAGAGGCATTTCAGATGCATTATTTCCACATTGATGAACTCATTTCACGTCTCCAGCAGCACTGCTTGTGTAAGATTACAAGGACTTCCAGTGATTCACATGAGAAGGCCCTGATCCTGCAGCACCCTTCGCTCAGAGGTACCAGAAATACACTAAAGCTATGAAATATGGCAAGAGTGACTCATCTTTCTTGTCTGGTAATTAGTGATAAAGTCCTAGGACACAGGTGGACCTGCCGCTTTAACTATATCTGATCTCCAGTGAGGCACTGTGTGAAAAAAGGACTTTATTTTCTTATAAACCTGCTGTGCACCCCTTTCACCGGACGGTCCCTAGTTGTTGTGCCTTGAGAAGGAGTGGATTATCATCACTTCGTAGTCGCTGTGCTGTTTGCACCTCCTTCGCCAGCTCGGCACCGGCTCGCCCTTGCCACCTTTCCCAGCCAGCCCGCTTCCCCCGCGGGCACCGCTCGGCACTAATTAACCATTAACTTCACCCCCCACGTTGCCCCTCGCCCTAACGAGGCCCCTTTTTTCCGGAGGGATTTTAAATAAAAGCCGCCGCCGAGGCGATGCCTGAGGGACCACCCGGCATCGCTGCCCGCGCCCGCCGCAGCGCCCCCTGGCGTCGCGCCCTTTCCCCCCGGCGCCGCTCGGTGCCTCCCGCCCTCAGCCCCGCCGCGGCCGTGAGGCGACGGCCCGGCCCGGCCCCGCCATGAAGCTGCACTTCAGTATCACCGCCGCCGAGGAGCTGCGGGAGGAGCGCGGGGGTCGCTACGTGGTGGGCGCGGTGCGGGGTAGGGAGGGGAGCGGGCGGCGGTGGGGGGGTCGGCCTGGCCGGGGGCGCGGGTCTGACGGCGATGTGCTTGCAGCTCTACTCGGTGTGCCTGGAGGGCTTCCTGCTCGGCAAAGTGCGGTACAGCCAGCTCCGCAGCTGGGACGCGCAGGTGAGGGTCGGCCGCGGCTGGGGGGGGGGTGGGGGGGGCAGCCTGCCGGGGTGCGGGCGGGCGTCGGGCCCCGCGGCCTGGGCGGGCCCCTGTGAGGGCTGCGGGGCAGGAGGGGCTCTCCTGGCCCTCGCAGGCCCAGCGCGGGATGGGGGCAGCAAGTTGCTTCTGCCCAAATCTGCCTTATTAAAGCTTTCGTTGATGCTGATGCCTCGAGGAGGATGGGCTCGGTCCCAACCCGTGCCCTGCCCTCGCACCCCACCTGGTCCACCCAATGCTGTGCTGTCAGGGGAGCCGCTGTTGTGGAGCACCTGTATTTACAGGGTGAAGTCCAGCAGCAACTGAGAGGAAAATAAAAAACAAAAAAAAAGCCAAGAAATGTGGCAGAAGAGTATGGTAAGCTGGCTTAATCGGAAGCATTGGCTAAGCAGCAGCAGCTGTGGGCTCAAAATGACTCTTTTCCCTGACCTCTGGGAGAGAGGTGCAACTGCTTTATTAGGGTTTTTAATCCTATGAACAGCTCTAGAAAGCATATAGAGGTCAGTCTAGGTAAATTGCAGAGACAGTTGCAGGGTTTTTTGGACAAGCTAGGGGTTAACCAAGTATTGGATCCTTTGGCCCGAGTTGCCTAAGCATGTATCTCAGGAATGACCCTTTCCATGCAACCAATTACTAGGCAATTACAAAACAGCTGGAACACAAGCCTGGAGTATTCTAAGAAATAATGGGCATCGGGGAATAATACATGGCCCTAACTAACTGAAGTGGATTGTTTCAGAGTGAATCTGCCTGTTTAACTCTGCTTTTGTTTTGTTTGTTTTCTAGTTGCCTCTGTCCCTTTCCCCACTATCCTTCCTTTGGTTTTCTGAGGAAGATAAAAGGGAGCATGTGATGTTGAGCTCTACCATGGAAGCAGAGCGGCCATCAGCCTTCTTTTTGCTAGCCTGATCTCTCTGGCCTTTGCTAGTTCTTGGTTCCAAGCAAAATGTCTCTCCCAACTCTTCCATCGGTTTGGGTGCGCACTGCTGAGGGTGTCATCCCTCCCAAGCAGCCTTATTTTACCTTGACAACACTATTTTAGGACGCCTTTTGATGAAGGCTTCTTGTGGTAGTGGGTTAGGTAGATGCTCTTCCTTTTGGCAGCCTCCCCTCTGTGCTCTCAGTTGCAGTGATAGGACCACTCTGGAGCAGTTTTTCAGCCAGGTGACCCCGAATGGTGATCAGTCTATCTCTCCCAACTCTCTGTGACTGCACAAGCAGTTGGAACAGCACAGCTAAAAGCAGTTGAGTTAGCAGTAGGGCTGCCATGGGAAGCAATGTTTGCTGAGGTGTGCTTTTGTGTCCCAGCTCTGCAATTTGTTTCCCTGTGGGAGCTCTCACAGTAATATTTTGCTTTGATTAACGGAGCATTTTGGATAACATATCTGAACTAATAAACCAGCTTATGTATTTGTTTGCTTTTTCTTTAAGGCTTACCGCTTCTTGCTCAAGAGGTTTTAACTTCATTAATGCTCTCAGTGAAATCTTTCCTTTCTCTGCATCCTCTGTAACTGCTGGCTTGCCTCTTGCTGGGCTTTACAACTCGTTAGCTGATTTTTACTTTTAATTCCTTCATTCCTGCTGTTGGTAGCTACCATACTTGGTCTTGAAGCTTACAACTACACTGCTGTCCTGTAATTGTCTTCCCTATACTTATGTGAGGTTGTTCATCTATGATTATTGTATGCTGTTCTGCTTATTTTGCTTGAAATACTCTGTTAAGGTAGAAAAATGCACACATACAAGAAGTCTTAAACTCCAGGATACAGTAATTTCACCCTCCTGATCTGTCCACAAAGCCCCCCAGGTGCAACAAATCTGTGATGGCTGCAGGATGTGAATTAGAAATAAGTTTCCCCCATGGACAGGTTTCTGCATGATTATACTTGGTGGTAGTTCTTGAACACTGCTCTGGAGGATCTGTCTCTGACCTCTGTTGGATGTGATGCTGGACTAGTTGTGCCCCTGATCTCCTTCAGAGTGGCAATTTCTAAAGCACTGATATTCTACCTCTGCAAGCTTATCTTCTAACTTGTGACATAAAAATCAGGACACATAACTTTTGTTTGCGATGCTGTGCCTTACCTGCTCCTTTTCTCTTGCTGTGCGTTTTCCTGCTGCCCATTGCTTTATATTCTGAGAATGCTTCTGTTGTTTGATGCTTGCAAACTCTGTTCCTCGCTGTCTCCCAGAGCGGTTGTTCTCTACAAAAGGATTGTCTAAAGGGAGCAACTGTTGAGAGGCAGTGTAGTGTGATGGAGCATGTGAAGTTTCGGATACACTGTTGAATGGGGAGATGCAGGTGTACTAACTCTGAGCAACATTTCCTTACCTCTAGATGCCTTACCTCCAAATGGGATTCTCAGCCTTAAGATGAGCACCCAAGGCAAATGGTATAGAGGGAGGCATGAACGACAAGGAATATCCTAAGAGATCTTCCTTAGGAGGAGTTAATTAGGCAGGGCTGGCAGAAATGCTGAGGAGAGCAGGGCAGCTTTAGTCCTTCTTTTGTGGAGATAGGCACTTGTTTGTGGATTGGCAGAAGGTTCCTATCTTGGTCTAAGGGTTTACTCCCTTGACCTTCCTCTGGGAGATGGGGCTTTGTGTTGGCTGTAAGAGGGTCAAGAGGTGTCTCTGCCTTCTTCCCTTTTGCCCCTTCTTTTAGGAGCTAGAGCATTCAGTTGTGGGAAATTCAGTTTTTGATCCCTCCTGTGTCTTGAGTATTAAGGTATTAATTATTAGCAGTAGGAAGGACAGCTGAAGAACTAGTCTCCCTTTGCTTGTGATGAACACCATACATGTTGGGCAGCGTTCCTTATTGTCTGCACATGCTGAACTAAGACTTCTGTACCCATTCTCTGCAAATGACTCTGAACAGCTTCATCGGGAGTGTCAATGTCAGATGGATATACATTTTAAGGATCTAAGCTTTGGCCCTGGATTTATATAAGGACAGCTAGGCAGTGCTCTGTACTGTAGCTGTGTTTTCGTCTGGCTTAAGTTCTGTGGGGACTGCACACCAACCAGAGCATCCCTAATAGAGCTGTGGGACTTTATTCTGCTTATGGAGAGGTAAGGCTCCCTTGCAAGAATATACAAGTGGCAGAAACTTCTAGAGTGAGGCTAGAGATTACCTGATCAGTGGTCTGTGCACTGAAAATATTACTGGATTTCCTTGAAATGGAACAGTTGCTGTCCCTGGTTTCCACCTTTGATGTTGTGATGTTTGAATTCGGCTTTTCAGTTTGGTAGCTGCTTAGCACATCCCTTATATCAAATATGATAATAAGAACCTATGTTCTGTTGTAGGACTGAAAGGAACAGATAATTTCTTGCAATTTTTGGAGTATTCACTGGTTTACTTCAAGTCAGGGAGTGAATAGGAAGTGTCCCCTGTAGGATTAAGAGTGAAATGCAACACTGATGGACTCTGGTCATGATACCAGCCTCTGTTGAGTCAGTTAGCAGCATCTGTGATTGCTATGAACAACTGTTGGGAAAAGAGTTTTAAAAAAATCTGTTAATAATGATAAAACAATTGGTAAAAAGGAATTAAATATAGAAAATGGTTTTTAAAACTTCATTTAGCCAATCATGTACTGGAATAGTCTCATACCTTTGATTGCTTGGGTAGTTTCTACATACATATATTTTAATTTTCACATGAAACATGTTTAAGCATTTTTAATCTTAGAATGGTGTCTCTTCCTTTTTTTAATATTTAATCGGGTAACTGAGAAGGAAATGTCTAGAGGCTTCTACATTCTGTTTAGAATTCATACATAATAGCTTCATAGTTATAACACTGCTCTGTTTTTTCGTAGCACTTTTTTTTTCTGGTGCTCTGTCTGACTTCAACATTTGCACACCTATGATGGAGTGTGGCCCTGGGTGAAATAGCTCGTCTAGACAGCATAGGCAGGACCTGACACAAAAAAGCAAACCTATGGAATTAGACTAAGTAGGAGATGATTAATTCTGGTCAACTACACTTTAAATTTGATGATGTCTCCTCCTGGGGAAGGGAGTATTTATTGCAGAAAGATGAAAAAGAAACAGCACCAACTGTGGCATGTGTTTTTACTCCCCTTTTTGAAGACACTAGATCTTAGAGCTTAAAGCTGTCATATTTAGGGAAACTGCCCTATCTATTTTAGGTGGAAATCTTGGAGGAAGAATAAGTACGTCTTCCACCAGGTTGGAACACCCTGTCTGGAGTTCTAGCACAGCCAGATTTAAGCTTGTTCTCATGATCCAGTCTCCGTGGGCTTTCCTGCCACTTGCTCTTGAAGGTGCCTCTGGGGTGGGGAGGTGGAAGTGGAGCTGTGCCCAGCCTCGGTGCTGGGCTGTGAGACAGGACAGGCCCTGGCAGCTGCTGTGTGGTGTTGGCAGGAGCTGTACAGAGTGTTTGCAGAGAAGTTGCTTGGTCAGACACACAGAGGCCAAAGGATGCGAGTCCTCCCCTTGGACAGCTTGTGGAGCAGGATGGCTTTGAAGTACCTGTCTGATCAAGTAGGTCCAGTCAAGAGAAAATGGCACTGCTCAGGGTGCCCTGGCCTGGGGCTGGGACACATGCCTTCTGTGGAGTGGCTTCAGGTTGCAGAAATAAACCCAGAGCTTCAAAAAAAATTTTCATAAGCAGATTTTGGGTAGGGGACCCATGTCTTATGTTGGCATGGCATGGCAGGGCAGCAGGCAGTCGGCACCTGGCACCACCGGGTACAGTGTAGTTGTTGACTTGCATTTAAAATGTAGCCTAGGCTGCTGAGTTTGTGAAGACAAATACTAGCTAGTTTCATTCTGCTAGAGGGAAACTTCATGCTGGTGGCTGATAGTCTGGTGGACTTGCAGCACTGTATGCAAATACACACTTAAACTTCATAGGCATTTTTCTTTAATTCTTTGAGAAGTTTCTCTTTGTAGCCCAAATCCTGAGGACACACAATTGCATTTCAAGAAACTTACCAAGCAGTCAGCACTGAGATGAATTCATTTTTTTTTTAAGTAGCCCAGAGTCTCGGCTTGGGCAAACTGATAACAGGCAGCACCACTTTGTGTGGGTGAGGCATGGCCTGAGCGCAGAGGGAAGGGAGAGGACCTCCTCATTGTCAGTGCGGCTCTGGCTTTCTGATGTCTGGCAAATTTTTTTTTCTGTAGCTCTTCAGTTTGCCTGCCTGTAGAGCAGAGATAATACTTTTCAGTCCCTGGGGGAAGATCACATATGTGAAGAACTTTGAAGATAAAAAGCACTCTATAGTAGCTATTACTGTTAGCTTTACATAAAACCAAAGCATGTAGTGTTATCTAACTCTTCTATGCTGTGTATCTCAGAACAATTCACGCATATCTAATAATCAAGAACTCAGAATAGTGGTGTGTTGCCAATTTAGGGAAAGTGGACCTGTGAGAGAATGCCTCACTTCTGTTTTAGCCAACAGACAGGAAAAGGTATTGCTAATTCTTGCAATGGTACACTTTTTTTTTTCTTCAAGCTTGAGCTGCTGGAGTAATGTGAAAGACTTGGGCAGCTGGGACAGAGGGAAAATGTCATTTTTCACAGGATTTACTGACACCAATTGCTGAATTGAATACTGGTGCTTAAAATGTACTTAGTAGTTACGCCTCAGCTTACTATAGGAATGTCATTTTTCTGATCAGATGCCATATTGTTTTGATTTAGGTGAAGGAATGTTTCCAGTCAAACTTGCTGTATTTTTCTGTTTAGCATTGTGCATATTGGGAAGGTAAACATAGCTCATCCTTCTCTTGAGATAATTTGCCTATAGAAGAGAATTTTTACACTTCCAAGTGACCAACTACTGCCCAAACCTATATTGGAACTACCTTATGTTATCATAAGATAATGTAATTGTGGTTCTCTAATCCTTTCAGGTCTGTTATAAATGAGGTAGGGTTTGTACAGAGACATTCTGCTCTTGTTACCCAGCTGATAGAGCTGGAGAAAGGATCAAACTTTCAGATGATTTGTATTCCTGAATGATTCTCTGTTTTTTGTTGCGGGCTTTCTTTTTTCCCTTTGAAAATATTAGATTATCTGATAAAGGCTACTACCTCTCACAGGCAAAATAATAAAATCCTTTGAGGTAGCACAAGTCAAGGGCAGAAGTCACCAGCTCTTAGAGTTCTGTGGGTATAGATCAAAGAAATCCTCTATGGACATATTGGGAGGAGAAGAAATCCGTAACTGTATCTTGTTTGTCCATGAGGTTTATAAGACCTAGATGATTAGGCTGATACTTTCCTGGCCCGGAACAGGAGTTCAGAAGTGGTAAGGCTGTAAAAAGGAGAAACCCATCAAAAGAGGTTGCTCACTTCATCTGTCTTGGTGGCTGCCTAGGCAGAGTCTTTGTCCTCGCTGTGGGCCCTGAGGACCATCAGGGAGGTGCAGGGTGGGAACCCTGTGCCCTTTGTAGGTCATCAAGTCTTGCTGTTAAAACAAGAGAGCATTGAAAGCTCCTTGGAAACTGAGTACTTCTTCACTGATGCAGAACTTTCCTTTGGCTGTTTTGCAGCTGAGGCAGCTTTTCGGAAGTGCCGTGCCTTCTTTCCCTCCTAAGTTTTACCTGGCAATGACCAAGTCGATGGCAGATGAGAGACAGTCTCAGCTGGAGCAGTACCTTCAGAATGGTAAGCTTGGCTATAACAACCTGATCAGCTTTCATACGTAGGGCTTAACCATTAGAGGATGTGTCTACAATAGTGACTGTAGGGTGCTTTACCTTCTATACTGAGCTGAGTAAGGGTGTATCTAAAAGGCTGGTGCTAAGCATTGCAGCACTGTCCTGTCTACTGGTTCACTGGCTTTAGAACAGCAGCATATCGTATTTCTTATTTCTGAAGCAGCTGCCTTTCTGCTTTACTTTCCCAAAATGTAAGGGTGCAGTTTCACACTAAACTTAAGCCAGCTTGGCCTTCTGGTGGCAGCCTGTAGTCTGGCTGTTCTGTGTTCTTCCGGATCAGTGAACTGAGCAACCCATCCCTGCTGCTTCACAACTGCCAAAGCTGACACAGGGCCAGAGTGTGAGCACTCACGGCTGGTCGGTAAGAGGGAGGCAAAAAAGACAGGCACTTGGACCGGTAGAAGTGTAATATGGAACTGGGCTCTGCATAAACTTCTTCCCTTCAAGGGTTTCCAGGCAGACTTGTGAGAATTATAACAGGAGCTTTGCTGAAAAATTAAATTTCAGGTGTGATGTATTGTGTTATAAACCAGGTCTGCAGGATCCCTAGAATGCATCTTGTGAGTTTCATGTAAGCCAAGAAATAAAAAAAAATAACCATTTCAATTATACAAAAAGAAGGATGTGTGAAGGGATGAGCTTAAAGAAGTTTTGTAGCCTCTGGTCTCAGATACTCTGTGCCAAAACTTACAAAACAAACTCAAGATTAGTCTTTAAAGTCTTACTTAGTGATTATTTTATCTTTTTCACCTGAGTATTCAACAGTTCCTTTTAGAGTTACTGGCCACGAGTGATCATGGAATTACGTGGCCAAGAACCTTCCTGTAGTCTTGCTTTGGGAGAATAGCAACACTACGTATATTTTGCACTGCTTGTAGCTTCATTGATTTAACAGGCTAGTAAAGGTAGCTGTGCAGAAACTAAAGTAAAGTAGCACTGACAGTTTAACCAAAAGCCATGTTGTATACATCTTGTTTTTAGACACTAGCCATGTTTTTCACCTTTTGGCTAAGTTTGCTTTCCTCCCTCCCCGTTTTCCTCTTGTTTTTCAGTTACTTTGAATTCAAATATTACCAATAGTGATGTCTTCACAGGTTTTTTCCAAAAGCTACAGCAGGTAAGTTTTGAATTTTTCAACCAAATATTTTGTTATATGAAAGAGTTGAAATATTGTCCTACCTCCTGAGTTCAAGGCTTCCTTTGCTATCTTCCTTTCCTTGTGTTCTTAACATATTGGTCTGTCTTGTAAAGCAGTGAGTTCTGATGACAGAGTGCTCTCTGTGTAGCCTGGCTGGCAATAATAATAGTATTGCTATTGTTTTGTCCATGTATGAACTTGTTTCTCTCATGGAAAGAACTATTTGCTTTGTTTTTATATCCTGTGGCATATCGGATGAATCTTTTGCCTCTAAACAGTTCCCAGAAGAGTCTTTGTGAGAGCTCAATAGAAGGATTACACACATTCTTGGGGTTTGCAACTGTAAATGCTTTTTGGTGGTGTCAGTGCTTTGGACTAATAAGTGTATTGATGACTGCTGTGAAAATGTCATGTTCTCTTATCTTGCAGCTGTAGTGATGGGCAGAATCTGGCATGTATTTGTGTTGTTGCAACCTAAATGACTTTTGAAATCCATTTTAATGTTGTCCATGACATGTATGATCTTTCTTGGCAGGCTTGGAGCCTGGATAGCTTTTTCTTGTGTCTGACTACTGCGAGGTGCCATATGTCCCATTTCTTCCCTTACCTCCTCTCCAGCTGCTGTGGTCCTTATGAGGATAGTTGTGTTTTGGAGCAGGTGGGTGCAGTATGACTCCAACAGCCTTTTTAGGGAGGGGATGCTGCATTAGTTTTCTGTGAAGTGCTTGGCATGCTGCTGGTGTTGCTCTAACTCCACTTGCAGTGAGTTGTTCTGGAGAGAGGGGATGTTTTGAAGGACTGAGTAAGAGTTTTGTGACTCTAGAGCCCTTCACTTGTTATATGTGATTAAGGTATGTCAGGGGAGTTCAGAAAGGCTTTAGAAAATGGTGTGAAGAAGTATTCCTAACAAATTCTAGAAAGATTTTTCCTGTGTACTTCATAGATAAAAAGATACAGTTTATCTATAGTCTCTTAAATTCAGACCTACCAAAGAACTCAAGACAGTGAACAAAAATCTCCTTTCTGATTAGAGTTTTCTTTTGCGAGAAGCAGTCTCTCTTAGTTCTGATCCAATGCCTGTTATAGCCCCACAGACAACTCCCAGCAATTACTGCTGAGTCTTAATTAGTCTTGATGAGACTGATAACAGGTCTGCTAAAGAAAGTTAAATCTGTCAGGAAGGCCTGCAGTTTGCCCTCAAAAACTGCGAACTGACTTTGACAAAGTTCTGGCAGGAAATAACTTTTCAAAATGCATGTTTGCAGTGCTTGAAGATGTCTTTTGGCATGCCAGTATTGTGGATTACTCTTAACATACCACCAGAAATGATGTTGTGTATTTAGGTTTTTGTTTACTGCAGGCCCTTTTGGTGAAGAGGGATGACTTGATGAATACATGTGTAATACTTGATTTATGTACACATGTGTGTGCTTATTAAGGCATGTGATGACAGTGATGTCAAAAGCAGTGATTTTGTAGAGTTCAAGGTAAGCACTGAATTATATCTTAAATGTTAGTGCAAGGTCAGTACATTCTCAAGACATAAAATTAACCCAAATTTCTGTTCCACAATACAATGGACTTTCATACACAATGTTTAGGCTTCCTGCTTGGCAAAGACAGTAGTTCTCCAGCTTTTTTTGTTTACAATTTAAACTTTAAATGGTTGTATTTACATAAACTACTGCTTCGTAATACAAGTAGCAGTAGTGCTTCATGTGTTCTTTCATTATGGTAAAGAACAAACTCCTAAGAGAGATCAAATAACTCTGTGAAAGACAGGACTGCATCCACTGTCGTTAGCTGTGCACAGTGCCTTTAACTGGTGTAACTGACAGCTGAATAAGTATTCGTTTTGGCTATTAAAGAATCTCACTCAACAAACTGGCTTTGTGCATGTTCCAGTACTTATTAGTATACTCTGACTTGTGAGATATTTTATGGCAGAGTGACAAAATTTCTGTAGCAGCATTGAAAGACACAGAGTGAAGTTCATCTTTAAAGCACCTTTGTACTGTTCTTTCCTTCTCCATCACTGAAGATGCGTAGGCAGCACTTAGTGTCCTACATGTTGCTTAGGAGTGAAAGCATAGTTAGGGTTTCAGTGTTGCTGCTATTTAGTGTTAAAACCAGCATTAACCCAAACTTGCTCTTGTTTGTTACATTGCAAGAGTGATGATTAATGAAAGATTTGAGAATAAAACATTGTTCAAATGATGAAATAGCATGCTCCTTTTCTGACAATGACATGGACTGGCTTTGATTAGTTGGTCTTGGTTATCCGAAACAAGTTAGTGCACACCTGTACAAGCAACCTGCCAGCTAAAGTGGGAGAAGTGGCAGAGGGACCACACTGCAGGTGGCAGTGAACAGGAAGCAGTTGGCCACTTTTCTGCCACCACAGCTACCTACTGAGCACAGATCTGTCTGCAGGTAAAACCAGTGCAGCTTTTATAATAGAAACCTTCAGTTTTAATAGAATAAGATAGGAAACTAGAGATGAATGAGATTACAAAGCTAAGGGGTTTTTCCTACAAATTCTCCTGCTGCCTCTTTTCACTTTCACTTCTATCTTCCATTATGAGAGAGAATAGAGCTGTCCTCTCAGGTAGTCTGCTAGTGCTTGCTTCATTTTCTTGGCTTGTCTTAAAACCAGCAGTATTTAAGCTTCTAGTTGAAGATATTAATATATGTCACTGAGTAGAATAGAAGTTGCAAAAGAAAAATCAAACTGAGTTTGAGACCTTTTTGGTCCTTGTCCTGTGTTTTGCTTCTGAATGAGGTTGTGAAGGGTGTGCTGAGACCAGCATTCCCCGGAGTGGGAGTGCCATGCAAGGACCTTGGCTTTACTGCAGCTGCCTGACAGTGTTGAACATGATTCCTCTGTATCTGCACTCAGCATCACACCAACCAGCTATATCCCCCTGATCAGATCTGACAGGACAAACTTTTCAAGTGGAGGCAAGCCCATGCAGGTTAACCCTGCTTTCCAGGCCCCTGTTTTTGCCCAGCACCACCTTTACCTGTTGCATAGGTTGTTACTGGTTTCTTCTTATAGCAGGTGTGCTCTGGCTGTTTCCCCAGCAACCTAATCTCATGGGAGAAGTTTTCAGGGCTCCTGACACATGGAGAAGCAGCTTGGCACAGTGGATGAATGTTGCTGAAATATTTACTGACACTGTCGTGTAGCAGAGTTGAACAACCTAAACCATAACCTCCCTGCCTCTCCACTCTTCCAAACCCTGCGAACTTGGCCAGTGACCAAGCTGGAGAGACAGATTCAGCATATGCCCCACTACCTCCAGCCCCTAAAGACAAATGGCACTGTTCTTGCAAGAAGTCATTAACAAGATGAGACTGTTGTGGCTGTGTTGTGTTGTCTTCTTTTTCATCAGGAGAAAGACAGTATGAGCAGGTACATACATCCCTGTCAGTCTCATTTTAATGCAACTCATCTATATCCTTGAATGTAATCTGAGATCATGGTCTCTGTATTGGGCACTCATGGAGTAATGTGGTGTATTCAGGATGCAGCTATGAGGACAACCAGTCATTATGCATTTATGAATAAAATTGAGACATATTTCCTTGCAGCAGCAGAGGTTCGGAGTTAACGACTGGCAGGCTAATATTTTTCAGTCTGTGTTGCTGGTGAACAGCAGATAACTAAAGATAAACTAAAGCAGGTTGTTTTTTGGTTTTGTGTTGTTTTTTTTTTTTTTTTTAAAAAAAAAAAGACTGTGGAAACCACTGGTTTAAGTATTAAACAGTGACACTTTAATGTGACCATTCTAGACGGGACTGAGATTTTCTTTTCTCTAATAGATCCTTTCTTGTAGATCCTCAAATTAATCTGCCTACTAATATGTTGCATGGTGTTTTTGAAGAATTCAAACTGCTTGGAAGTAGCTTGAAAGTTTGCATCGTGTTTTTCTTCCCCTCATGACTGCTGAGCAGTGAGGCAGCAAATAGGGTAGGGTGCTGCAAGCTGTGGCTCCCTTTGAATGGCAGAAGGGTAGAGTGGCCTTTGTGTCTGACCCTGGGCTGCCACAGTGGACGAGGTGACCTGTACCCAGGCTGTGAAAGCTGCAGGAGCAGCAGTGAGGATCTGGCAGAAGTAGATGCATAAAGTCCTCTGTGTCCTTTCCCTACAGGAGTTTCAGCATTAACAGCCCACACCCCAAGGCACTTACTGCGGTGTGTGGGCCTTTGCACTCACCTTCACCCCCCAGTGCTGCTGCTGAGTCCTGGGTAGTAAACTGGCTATACAGCGACCTGCTTGCTCTTCATTGAGAGCCAATAATGAGTTACATGTCTCTATCTCTTTCTGATAATTTCATTCCATATTTCTTCCACATTTCACATACATTTTTATCACATGTGAAGTGTTTCATACCAAAGTATGTGCACCAAAGGCATTTGTGAGGAAGTCTCTGCTTCTTCCTCTTTGAGGAAAGTAGTAAAGTACTCAGGAAAACATAGGAGATGATCCTCAGTGTAAGAGAGAGGGGCTTTATCTCCACAGAAGCAAAGTAATGCTTATTTTAATTAAGAGGAATGACTAGACCTGTCTCCTGGATAAGAAAGAAATTAGTTTGAGGCTAAAGATTAAATCTGTGTGGATCCCCAGAAGGACTTCAGACAGGGCATTGGCTAATACCTTGAGGTTCTCTTGTTCTTTAATACATGCAAACAAATGTGTAGGCATGCAGATAGGTGAAACACTAGGTGTTAAGAAAATCTGTGGGAAGTCTGTTTAAATAATAAAGATTGTTTTGGTTTGGTTTTTCTCAAGACTTTTTTTTCCCCACATATCATTCTACCAACTTTTGACAATATGTTCTTAATTTTTAGATGTTGTGGAAGAAAACGCTTTTTGTTTGCATTTGATCTTACCTTGAAATAACTCTTAATTCAGCCAGATTTAATGGAAAAGATTGTCTTTATGACCCCAAAAGTTGCTAATCTGGGCTGAGTTAGTTAATTGGAGTCATACATCCTAGTATGTTCTCCGGGGTACCCAAAAAGGGGTAATGGAGCACACAGCATAAATGTCAGCCCTGCCACCCTGCTTTTGTTGATATCACAGGAGTCAGGAGATGCTCCTGTATACAGGCACCATGAAGACTTTGCAGCAAGACAGTGAGAGTCCTTGAAACCTAAGGGCTCCTAGGGAGTCTCTCATATCTTCCACCAGGCTAGCAAAGGTGGATACAAGAAATTAAATTTTAATGTTGCATGCAGTATGTACAATTACAGCATTTTCCTCCACTGTGAATTTCAAAGGAAGTACCTCTCCTTAATTAGCAAAAATGCCAGAAGGACCATTGCTGTCCTCTGATACAGGGCAGTCAACAGCAGGAAGAGTTGCAGCAATGAGTTTCTGCCACCTCGTGATGCATCACCAAGGGAGTTCTCAAACTAGTCTCCATTCTTTTGAAACAAGTAACTGACTTCTCATGCATAGCAAGGCATGGGGCTTTCTGAGACTGAGCTCAGGGAAGTCTTCTAGGGAAATACAAAGTCTTGATATAAACCCACTTGAGAATACTCCATTCCTGTGCACTATCTCACTGTTAAAATGTGTGCTTTACTTCTAGTCTGACTGCGTCTATCCTCAGCTGACAACCAATGGTCTGGCTTCTGTACTTTAGTTTTCCAGATTGCAAATCACCACTTTAATATGTCTAGACATAAGACAGTTCTCTGAGGTCACTTATTTGAGACCTGTTTTCTCATGACCTAAATGCTTTTAGGTTTCTTCTTTATATCCCCTCTCCATTTGCGGTCGTTTTGAACCTTGGGCACTGGCACTACACAGGATTCCAGTAGCAGTGGGTCTGGTATATTAAGATACCATAGCCTCATTATTCTTTCTGGAGTTTTTCCTGATTATGGGTACAGTGATGCTTTTTTTTTCTTGTTTTCCTTTTGGCAAGATTGCGGTGTTGAATATTCACATGCACCTATTTATCCACCTCCTCTTTTTGGAGTCTCTACTGCCTAGGACAGTGGCTGTGTCATTCCTACAGACACTGAGATATGAGGTAACCTGTGCTCAGCTTAACATTGAAGTGACTCTCCTCTAATTCTTCAGTATCTTCCCACTTGCTGCTCTGCATATGTTTTGGTGGTTTGTTTTTGTGGTTTTTTTGGTTTTTTTTTTTTTTTTTGTCATCTACAGGCTTTAACAGTAATTTTAGTAACTAATTGATTAGTAAATAGCAATCTCAATTGTTTCTTTTACATGAGTAAATAACGAAAAGGGTCATCAGCACCTTTGGAAGGGCACCAGCAATATGGAAAGCAATAAAACAGTGTTCTGTTTCTACCTAACAGGATACATTTAAGATCCAAACCCAGAGAGCCTTTTTGGATGTTTACCTTGCTGATGGCAGCAATATTAGACTTGATATCCAGACATCGGACACTGCAGAAAGAATATTGGAGGTAATGGAGTTTCTACAACTGTGTTGAGATTTTTCATTTGTGAGAAGTGGACAAAAATTAATATAATTTCAGTCAAGAAAGAGTAAAACTCCCTATTTGAAGACATACAAGAATATCTTCAGTGGCTTTTGAGGGGTTTATTGTACTAGGGGCAAGGGGTGTTGGGGGTGTTGATGATTTTGCAGATGATCTTTTTTGATTCTTACACTTGTCCATAATTTACCTCCTCTTAATGTTACGTGCCCTCTGCTTCTATGGCATTTGGCTGTCAAGTTCAGGTTTCCTTCATATATAATAGAAGCAGAAAATATATGCTATTCCTTATGGGGACACATTCTTAATTAACCCCACCTTTGGTTTAGAATAGTGTAGGTGAAAGTGCTTGAACACTGTAGTCAGAAACAGTGGTCTAGTCTTAGCTTATGTCTTAGCTGGTGCACTGCTGTTAAAACTTAGTGTGCAACTGATATGTCCTGCTTTTCTGCATGTTTCTCCTTTACTTGTCTTATGTCCTTTGATGTTTGCTGTGAAACTGTAGGACTTCCTTTGCAGAATTGTGGCAGTTCTAGCACTGTGGCTCTGGGATGACTGTAACAGCTGTTGAATACATACAGTAAACAATTGCTAGTTACATTTTGAAACCAGTAGCAACCAAATGTTTACACAACTGGCTGGCTTGTGTTTGAAACTTTCAGCTGTGATTCCCTTCATATGCCAGGAGAGGAGGAGCAGCAGTAGCTCTGCATATTTTGTGCATTTGCACGGGTGTGTGCATGAGCAAGACTGAAGCCTCTTCCTCAGTTGCTCCCATTTCCTAATTTTAACAGCAATAACAAAGCATACACCTGCCAGATGGATACTTTTCTTTGTCACGGGAATCTGAAATTTCATCTCATCATACAGAAAATTGTGTACTGTATTTCTGTTGTGCCTTTGCAATCTGAGTTTGTGGAGGTAGCTCTCAGCTGGCCATAGATACAAGCTAGCACGGTGTGTATTTGCTCCCCTCTGTCAAGCTGACAGGTGTTAGTCTGGCCATAGAACACAGAGTATCTGTTCACAGTTACCGTGAGTTGGATAACATAGGGTAACCCCTTGCTGGCTTTGTTCTGCCATGGGGCTTGCACTACCTGAGGCAATGCCAGGACCAGTTCTTCCACGGGAAGATAAGTGTCAGAGTTGGCCTTAGACCCTGCAACAGGACAGTTGTGGGGGCTGAGAATGGGGTGGGAGATGCTGAAGGTAAAAAGTGTTGGGGGATGGCAGGGAGATAGGAATTTTGATTTGGGAAGAGAGCAGTAGGTGCTAATAGGGTGGAGGAAGTAAGGAGACATTTTTAGATAGGAGACTTACATAGGGACCTTGAGTAAGGAAAGGATTTGCTGATATACTTTTAAAAAAATACTAATAATTTGGGCTTGATAAACTTGTTAGGTTTTCGTGGGTCAAGGCAATTTCCAAGCCGGACAGTGGTGTTGTATGTTGCTTTGTATATTGCATTTATAGGTGTTCAATGTTTATGTGGCACTGTAAAGAAACAATGACATTTGAAATAGGACTTTTAGGAATTATTTAGCTTTTGTCATTGTAAACGTTCTACCACATTCACTGTTCTGCAGTGGAGGTAGATTTTGCAACCATCACTCCCTAACATCCTGGTGTTCAGACAGCATATACCAGCTTGTGCTTTGATCTAAGAAATAAAATAAGTCAAAATCCTACTGAATCAGAGATCTGTTTGACATTGCTGGAAAATGCCATCTGGTACACAAGGGATATCACATTGAAGCTCTGTGGCTAATTTCTTCAAGTAATTTGTGGGGACTTCTTTGCACAGAGGCAGAGTGAAAGATGGTGCTGCTAATATTCACTTTGTCTTCTGTGTTTGAACTTCTGAAACTTTTTTCCTGTTATGCATGGTGTCTGAACCGAGTTTGAGGCAAGTGATTTTTACGTTCTCCTGCCCTCTCAGGTAACACCTCTGATATTAGCAAGTATAAAGAAAACCTCGTGAATGTGTTTTTTAATTTTAATTCAGAACAATTCCTCCCAACCTGTATTTAGCTTGATGTCTACTTTTTTTTTTTTCCCATGCACAAAAACATTGGCTTTTTAAATGAGCTGTTACAGCTGGAGAAAACCCTTCTGAACTGTGGTGATGAGCGAATTTACAATGCTGTCACTGTGACAGACCTGGAAATGTTTTGGGATTGGCATCCTTTGCAAGAGGACTGAAAACCAGTACTTCTACCTTGAGCTCAGACAAAGAAAGTCCAGCTTCTCTGACCAAAGCATGACTCCTCTATCGGGTTGCACAATCTGCCAGATGAACTATGACAGGAGTGTTCTCAGGGGTGGAGAGTTTTCTTACAGTTGCCACACCACCTCCTGAGCAAATTCAGGAGATTATGGTTGCTGCAGAATTTAGGAATGTTCTGAGAGCACTGTGCTCTTTTAGGTTATGGCTGCTTTAACTTATGCTTTGATTTTTCAGGACCTAAAACAGAACAAGACTGTTGCCCCAATCTGATTTCAGCAGTTTCTGTGCTCACCTCTGCCTGATTTTTCTGTCCCCACTATTCCACTGTGCAGCTGGTCCTGCAAATAGTTTCTGCATTTTCTGTTGGTGCTACTTCTGCTCTTTTCCAGAGAAGATGTAGAGGGGTCACAGCAAGCTAGAAATAATCCAAATGTCAAGATGGATAAGATTTTTCCACTTTGTGCACTGTCAATAATGAAAGCTCAACAGAGCTCAAGTCTGCTCTTGTTAGAAGCCTTTACATAGAATTGTAGAACCCTACAAGTAAGACTGGTGCTTTCAGTAAAGGGACAGGACTTCTAGATATTTCCTAGAAAAACAAGAGGACTCTATCAGCTTGGAAAATACCCCAGTCCTATAAAAATACGTATTTGTGATGCTCACGAGCAATGCTGTTAGCTCAGAGCACACAGTGCTCACTGTACAACAGGATTTGAGGATGTGAGTAAATAGCTGGAATAACATCGCAGATGCCTTGTGTTAGAGGGTACTTAAATGCATGGCAGAGTAGTAAACATTTTTTCATTTTATTTGATTTTTATGTTCCTTTGTGAGGAGTTTCATAAGTTTCAAACTCAAATGCTGCAATATGGGTATGCTTATATTTGCTTTTAAATGGGCAGTTAAATGGGACACAAGGGAAAATTTAAAACCAATTAAGTTACATTAATAGGTATTGGAACATCTCTTCCTTATGGATATCCTAACGGATAGCTAAGCTTCTGACTTTCTTTATTTTTAAAGGTTACACTGTGCAGGATGGGACTATCAAGAGAATTAATAAAATATTTTAGCTTATTTTTCTTTCAAGATCATGATGATGGAGTGCTCTCTGGTAAGTTTTACAAGGTGCTTAGCCTTCCCTTTAAATTTTTTTTTTTTTTAAATTTTAATTTTTTTTGGCTTCAAACAGTGACTGAACCTGGAATCTGAACAGAGCTTGCATGAGCCGTCTCAGGCTGAAAGACCCATCCTGTCTGGTAAACCCCCTCAAGCCCTCTCCCCCTGTGGCTTGGAAAGAGTGTTAGTGGGGAACAAAGTATAGCAATAGATAACATGATGTGGGGGTGAGACTTTCACATACAAATATGTCCCTTTCAGTTTACAAGACTGAAGCAACTTTACCACATGGGAACTATTGGGCCTATCTTCTGGACAGGCATTTAATCAGGTGGATATACCTACATAAACCAGTTCTTAATTTACAGATCACATGCCTAGTTTAACAATGGGACAGGAAACATTTTTCTTATATTTATAAACAATGTCTGTGGCTTCCTTTCATTTATATCATGACATGTTTCCTTTCTTAACTGACACAAACTTAAGTTTAACCATGATGGTACTGAGCAAGCTGTAAATATCAGGGTTGTGAGTCTCTTTATGGTCATAAAATGTGAAGAAGCTTTTATGTCCCCATTGGTCTGCTGATGTCTTGTTTTTCATGTGGGAGGCTGGATCCAGGCCTGGGACTGGGATAAACTTGGGCCACATCAGGGAAGTGAACATAGTCTTTGCTGTTGACTGGAGTAAAGTTAGGCACTGCAGCTTGTCTGCGTGGCCTTGACAAGTCATTTAGCTCTTCTCAGTCTTCTCATTGGCATAAAGGTGTTAATGTTTTTCTGAACCTTTTCAAGATGAAGGTCCAGTAGTGAACTCAGGCTTACTCAGTGGGGTAGGAACCTTACTGCCTGTGTCTATTGTATTTATTGTTTCCCTGCCCCCTTCTCTCTGGCTGTGAAAGGTATCTGAGTACACAGAATCCCTGGCTGTTACTATGTCTCAAATGTGTCTGGATATACCAGGTTATATACCCTTCTACTGCTATTGCAGATGGATTTATTTTTTGCTTTGTATTGTGATACAATCAGATACACAGGAGAATAGAAAAGTTTTTCAGTTGATTACATTTCTATACATCTTTGATATTCCTCCTAAATACGTCAAGTCCAAATGTAACCCACAGTCCACTGCCAAAAAATATTTAGATGCTCACGTATTTAAAATCATATGTTTAAGTGTTCTGCTGAATTGTGGTACTGGCTTAGAAATAAATGCTTACAGGTTTGGGCCTTTAGGCTTTTTTTTTTTAAGTGAGCAGGAAAGTAGTGACCTCTGAAGAGTGACATGCTTTTTTTTTTTTTTTTTTTTTTTCTGTACATTAGTTATACTGCTCTTGTCTGGTGTTCTGTTCAAGAAAAGCACCAATCCTGGAAGCTTGCATTCACACATCCTTTAAATGCAGAAACTTCTATCCTGCTTAGCTGTGCTTTGAGTGAAGGATATTCTAGAAAAGTATAGTCTAAGGGAGTAGAGATATTCTGTAAGTAATAGTTATGTAAGTTTAGACTCAGAGAAGTGAGAAGAATAACAAACCTTTCACCTTACTTTCTCTCAGAAAGTAATATTAAAGTTTTCTTCTCCAAAAGCACATTCCTAACCAGCACTAACTGATGTGTGAAAGTAGCTGGGCTATTTCACTAGATTTCACCAAATGTCTCTGTGGTTTTTCTTCTTTTTCCAGTGGTGAAAAAATTGGCAGAATTTGAACTTCCTTATGTGAGTCTTCAGAGCATGAAAGAGTTGGACTGTAAGCTTGGGATCAGAAAGTGGTGAGCAAGAAGCTTAAGAGAAGCTACCAAGATTCATGACAACTGCTATAAACAGAAGTCCCTTTAACGACTTAAAGTCTTCAAGCCTCAGCAGTTGACTCGTTTTCTCTGAAGCCAATTTGTTATTGGAATTGACTGGTTTCTGTGGCCCTGCATGTTTTTAAATGTTGTCACTGTGGTATTCTGGAAGCGTCCTTTACTGTATTTAGCTATTTACTCCCCATCTTTTTCAAAATCTATAGAGGGGTGCTTTGTGGCTGCTTGCCTCCTAATTTTTATACCTGCATAATTCAGTGGCCACAAATGGGAATTTACCTGTAAATATTACAGAAGAGGACTTTGAGTTCTGAGTTGCAAGCTGCAACTCTGGGTGGAGATGGATTACTTTTTATCTGAAGTGGTCATTTCTGTATAATAATGCCTGAAGCCATAGCTTGAGCATTTCTTTTGGCAAGTGGCCTGGCATAAGCAGCAGAGAACTCTTCTCCTTTTATTTGCTCACACCTTGGGGTCCTCCTCAATTATGCTGATAGAACTGTGTGGGCAGATGTGATGAACTGGACTGGTGAGCTAACTGGACTAAAAATAAGTTGCTGGCTGTTTATTTTTACTTTGGTTTTGCTGGCCTATTTTTGGCCTGGATCAGTCCCCCAGTCTTGCTTGCTGTGCAGCAAGTAGTTGTGCTAACTTGTGGGTGAGGATAAAGCCCCAGGACAGGGAGTCTGGTGCCAGAGTCCTGCTTGTCAAACAGTGCCCTGAGGGTGCAGTTAGGCAGTATAGCTGAGCCAGTCTAATGGCTCTGCTGTGGTTGTGGTCTGGTCTAATTCTCCTTACAATGGATGGAAGAAAAAAAAAAAAGGAGGGGAGGGAAGGGAATAGGTTTGGGGTTTGTTTTTTGTTTTGTTTTTGTTTGTTTGTTTGTTTTTGTTTTTTTCCCATGTTTAGTGAGTTGTATTGGCTGCATCAGATGAATGTTAGAGCAAGGACCATAGTTGGGAACAGAAGAGGAAGAACAGACCATGCTTTTTGGTGGCACCAAGCAAGGTTGCATGGCTTGAGGGGATACAGAAACCCGCTGCTTGATGCTTGGAACTTGTCTGCTTTAAATCTACTAGGCTAGGCCTTGGCATCTACAAAGTTTTCTCTGTTTCCCTGTGTGTGCCCTTATAAACTGCAGAACCTAGCAGCCTAATGAAAGAACTGTGTGGTTCTAAGCCATGACAAAGCAGCTGTCTGAGTAGATACTTCTCCATCTAGTGCTGCTTCAAAGCCCAGAGGTAGGAAACGGCAGTCCTGGGGTTGTTTGTGCGCTGCAGGAAGCGTATCGCCTGTGCGACATGAGCAATACAGCTGTACTAGCCATGGAGCCAGCCCTGCTCTGTCCGGGCTGTCATGTAGACTTACCCAAGCTGCTTTAAATAAAGTGGTTCAAGCTAGCTGTTGCAGCATGGCACTTGGCTAACAGTATTTAACTTGCTTTGCTGTACTGCTCTGGTCCTGCAGCAGTTCTGCAGTAGTTGGTACTGCAGCTAGCTAGCTTGAGGCTAGGTCTGGTATGTCAGCACTGCGGCATGGCAGTGGATGCTCTGAGGGTCTTACCAACTTTTATGTAGACAAACCGCCAATTCTGTGAGAGGAAGAGGAAAGTTTTAGTTCTGAATTGTAACTGTTATGTTTGGTACTACCAAAATCAAAGTAGAGAGATTGGATAACCTGAGTTTAGTGTATTTCCATTCTGCTACAATGTTTAAAGAATGAGTCTAGTGTATGTTTCAAGGCCACAACTGTTTTTCGGTTTGCCTTTTTTTTTTTTTAGTCTGGTGAGTAATGGGATCTTTCTGGGTTGTGCTCCCATCATATTTAGCTGAAACGTAAAAATGCCATAATTAGAAGCATATCTTCATATTTTATTTCTTTTTTTCCCTTGGCTTGGAAAAGGTATATGGATCCTTCTCTTGATACGCTGCTGATGGATTGTAGAGCTTCATTGAATTTGCTATATATGCAGGTAAAACTGAAAGGTCTCTATAATTTTAAAAGTTAACTTTCCCACATTAATTTAATCTTTTACAAACATTTCAAGAATTTGTATAAATGGTTTCTGTTTAGCACTGCTTTATTGCGCTTTTCTAAGTGCTGGGTATAGCTGTTGATTATCATGTTATGGTGGGGTTTTTTTCCTTCAAACTCATGTACTAGGGATTCTAACTTATCTGTGTTTTGTGCATGGGAAAAATATTGCATAAAAAGGACATATTTAGGTATTAGTCTACTCTATTTTCAAGTGTGTGTATGTGTCTGTATGTCTCTATGTAGGCCCTCTGCCATGATATGAGAGCATTTAATTTCTGAACTGTAGGTGTGTTGAGTTGTACTAGCTTTGGAATCTATTGATTCAGGATGGAAGAACAGTATAGAGTGAACTTGACCGAAAATCAAAGGCCTCGTTTAAAAACAAAAACAAAAAAAAGGCTTTCTCTGTGTGTTTCTGAATGTTTGTGTGTGAAAGGAAATACATTTTTGTTGACTTTTTTGCTATTTAAAAAAAAATTCTTTTAAGGCAATCCAGGAAGTTAAGAGGAATTGGGTTAAACCAACAGAAGGGCAGATGCAGGAACTTGAATTTCTACAAAAAAATGCAAACAAAACAAAGGTAAAATGGTACTTTAAAAACAATATAAACAGATCAAAGCAGTGGGTTTTGAAGCAATGATACTAGGGGCTGTGACTTTAAAAATAGGATATGGTTTTGTGGAGTGGTTTGAACTAGAAACTCAGGTCTCCCAGCTCCTGGTCAGATGCTGAGCCACCAAATAGAAAAGGAGGTTCTCATCTCTGATAGCATTTTAAAATAGCCCAACAGAATGACTTGGATCCCAAGAGCTAGTGAGATGTTTTTGACTGAATCCTAGCCTCTATTTGCTAAACTTAAGGTTTAGCAAAGGTTTGTCATCCAGTTTAAGAAATCAGATGGAAATTCAGACTACAAGGACTGCTGTTCTCAGTACTTCTTACTGATTAGCTTTATTCCCATCATCACATCTGAAAAGTATCCAAAAGATCCAGCCCATCATATCGGCGGGGTGGGGTGGGTGGAAACCACGCTTCTGAGATTGGACTTGTGAGCACTATTCTCTGAATCGAACACTGACATATTATGGTGAATCTGTGTCCTCCCAGGTAAAAAGAGTATTAGGAACCTAAAAGATATGCCTTGTTAGCATTTTTTTTTTTTCACACTCCTCTGCCCCCCCCAATCACTAGATTTCACTTGCCTTTACAGCAAATCACTTTAGTTCTGCCTTTTTGATGCAGTTCCTGGAGCTGATGAGAGAAGTGCAGTTCTATGGATACGTACGGCTTGATCCTTGCATTTGTGACTACCCAGAAGAAGGCTGCTCAGCTGACATCTATGTTGGCAATAACGAGATTAACTGCTGCATAAAACTGCCTACTAACCAAATCAAAGAGGTCAGCTTTAAAATCAACAGGTTAAGAAGGTGGCAGGTTGCTTTTCTTGTAAGTACTTCAATGGCTCTGTATCTGAATTCACTTTCTCTTCATGAAAACTAAGGTTGTCAGGGAAGGGCAGGTCTGGGGAGAAGAGGATGGTCTGGTTTAGGTCCCTTCCATTTGCCCATATTGCCCTTCAAACCTCTTCTGAAACATATTCCCTTGGCAGCCTTTACATCAGTAAACTATGTAGCCTTACTCTGCTATGTCTTCTCCCTCCTGTGTATATATTCCATGTCATACTTTACCTGCCCCTTTCCTTTCCTGTTGGAGGTAGAGTTGTCAGTTTTGTATGGGAGTGAAAGAACTGCTTTAGCCAGCCTTATGCTTGTAAAGACTCCCCCTTCCTGCCTCCCACTTACTTCCTCCCCCAGGAGAAGTGTTCTGGTACAGATCTTCAGCTGTTTTGTTTCATATACTGTATAAAATGAATCTAATTGACTAATTCTGATGTCAGGCTGAACACCTTAAAGCTGTTTTTAACTGTTTCTTCTGTTCATTTGTCAGTTGTAGGGTTTTCTGTTTGTTTTTCTTTTTCAGGGTGCTACAAAGGGTGGTGAAGATGACACTTTGGAGCTCAGATTTGAGTACAATGATTCAGGCACATGGCAGTGGATAATTTTGTACACAAAACAGGTTAGTTCTCAGTCCTTTTAGGAAAGGATCAGAGGAAAATGTAATCAAACAGCCACAGGGCATCTTTAAAAGTGGCTAGTCCATCTGCACCAGAGTGCAGTGGCTATGCTTTCAAGCAGGTTAGCCTAGGGATAGAGTCACATGGGGAAGAGTGTCTGGGTTTCTAACATAAGGGGAAGAGGATTTTATCTTTTTTTTTTTTTTTTTTTTTTTAATTCCATTTAAGAGAAATGTCTAGCACTCAGCAGCAAGCCTGGAATGGAGTGTGGAGAGGTGCTTTTTATTTACTCAGTAAGTATCTAAAATCATCAATTGGTCAGACCCACCTCAGGTAAAGGGTTTCCATTTTCCACAATAAATCCTATTGTTCAAATATAAATAGATACCATATTAACACAGATTAACAGAGAGTGTGAATATGTGACATCAGAAGTATTTTTTAACATATAAATAATTCTTAAATAAGACTTTTATAGAGTGCCATTCCTCCCACTATTTTCAGCCAGCTCTTTAAAGCGAAAGGTATCCAAGAATTCAAGTCATCCATCTGTGGTTGTGCTGCCTAGCAAATAATCTAGACTCTGCAGTATTGAAGACAGCACCAGTCTCAGTTTAGGTACAGAGCTTCTATAAAAAGTATAGAGCCTGTTATCCAAGTAAACTGTTTCTCTTGCCTCTGAGACCCACTCAGCAGCAGACAGGATTTCTGAAATAGAATCAAAATGTTTAATTTTTCACATATGAATTCTGAATTCTGAGGTGGTGATGCAGTTCATACAGCTATTTAGTAAATGTTAATTTCCTGCCATGCTTAATTTTTTTGAGAACGTGAGCCATAAGCAGTATGTTTTCTAGTTTCTGTGCTGTTGGAGAACAAAAAAAACTAGAATTACTTCAGTTTTAATTCTTCTGTGAAATCTATTAGGGTTGTGCTTGATGTAGTGACTTGTTGATTAGAAAACCTGCATCCCACTTTCCTCAGAAGTGTAAGGAAGAGCTAAAGACAGGAAAGGTGCTGCTGTGTGGAAGAAACAAGGGTTTGATCCAGGAGCCCACTGCAGACAGTGGAAAGACTGGATGATTTGGAGCTTAGTCAGTGATGGCTCCCCCCTCCATCACGGATCTCATAGGATATTTTGTCTTGGATTCACCTCTCAGTGCTTGATGCCCTACCTGAAATGCTTCACTTTGTAGAGTAAGCAGTAAGGTGCATCTCCAGGGTGCAATTCAGACCTTCACTTGGGCTGCATTATTCCAGGGAGGTGTACATGCTCATCGGACAGCATAGGGAACTCGGAACAACTCCATTCCCCTCGGAGGTGCCTCTGCTAGATACCTGATGTGTGGGATGAATGCGTACTGGTCTGTTCCTATTAGCTGTGCAAGATGCAACTCTGAGCTGCTCTACAAACAGTTGCAGCCATCTTGTGTAATCGCCAGGGGTTTGATTCTTCAGCAGTGCTGAAGGCCTGTGAACTCCCGCTTGCTTCATTTGTTGAAGTGGTTTTGATGCCGGTAGTGCCACATTTGATTAACCTTACTTAGCCTTTGGTGTAATTTGGTAGCCTTTAAGGTAGGAGCCACAGACAACTAGAGAGAATAACTTGCCTCGCAAAACCAGTCATAAAAACTCTTATTCTCCACTCTGAGCAGTGCTGTGAGGGTTAGTCATGCTGAGGCTGAGCTTTCAGCAATGGCAGCTAGTTTGGTGCACTGTGAAGATGTTAAGCACAGAGTAAAATTAACTGAATTAGGGAAGTAATAGTTCAGTAGTTAGGGACTGTAACCTTCTGGTAAATGAGGAATGGAAGAGTCGAGTACATCTTTTAATAGAAGAAATCAGAACATTCTCTGGTATATCTTCCTTAGGCCTTTTTGCTCAGTAGCTGCTTGAAGAAAATGATATTGGAACAGATGAAGGCAGCCAAAGAAGGCCAAGAAATGGTGAGCATTGGATGTATGTTGGTATCTGAATGTGTATTTAAAAGAAATAAGCCTGCTACTCTATCATTCTTTCAAATGTGCTGAGAAGTCCTACTGAGGAAAAGGATCTTGCATGTTCCAACATTTCAGTACAGAATTAATTGGCTAAAGAGTACATTTGCTCAGTTTTACTGAAATAATATTCTGAATGTTAAAGATGGTTTATCATTGCAGTTTTAATAATCTGTTTTGCATTCTTTCTCCTTGACTTTAATTTTTGCTGGATATGATAAAGGATATCCAAGATAATTTTTGTATGTTCTGCACTACCCTGTTGTATCCATTTCTGGCTTTTACTTTTTCACCACCTCACTTGCTTGCTCCATCTGCTGCATCTGTTAGACCAATTTGAGATCTGTGACATTCACACCAAGAAACTTTTTGGTTTTAAATAGAAGTGTTAATAAAATAAAAATCTGATTTGTTGCTAAAATACTTCTGTCTTTTGTGTAGGTCTTAAGGCTGAAAATATGTTTAGATACTTGTTATTTTAAAAAATAATTTCCAGCATTAATAATGCCTTTGTTTAACCTTGTGACATCTAAAGACTTTGAATGTCTGCTAACTGAAAACTTCTGAAGATAAAAAAGGAATGTGTGTGATCTTCTAGACCCATGCTGGTTACAGTGAGCAATGGGGCAATGAACAGCATGTTATTTCATAGCTTTAAACTATAAGCGATTCAGATGAAAATATCAATATTAATTTTGGAAAAGACTTGATCTCTTTCATTCTAAGTTGATTTGTAATGGAAGTACAGTGAACCTCTAATTATGGTGATGAACATTCAGTACTTAAATATTCGGGTAGCTTGGACTAAAACAGAAATATGAGAGAATGGTAAATGTACCAGTTCATTTCCTATACTGTTTCTGCTGGGTTTAACTGAATGGTGATTTGCTCAGCTTTTTTTGCTAGAGTAGTTGGGAGAGCATTTAAGCTTATTGTAAGTTTAAATTTTTCAATTTTCTTAGGAGATCAAGATGCCTGAATCCACAAAAAATAGTAAGAAATCCAGCATCCAACAAAAGCAGGTTAGTAGTGAGAGAGTGTCTCCAAAATGTAAATACAGTGTGTCTTGCTTAGCAGTGTTTAGCCCAACCTCCTTTTCTGGTTAGGGAGACTCATAGTAAATTTAATAGGAACTTCTTTGGGTAGGACAAGGAGCTGAACTTGAATTTTGGGAGGAAGAAGGGGGCTAGAAACATGTCTGAATAAAAATTTTATTTTAGTGTGGTGGGTTTAGTTACAACTTGCTTCGTTTTATTTGCTTTTTGCTAGTGTTTCTGAATGATACATTTGAAGTTTACAGAAAGCCATAATATCGAGAGAGAGCAAGTGTGTATATCCACATGCCACTGCTGATGTAGTTTACAGACTTGTACTTGGATTCCACACTGGGTTTGTTTATGAATTCATTTTCCCCTATATTTTGGAGTTGTACCGTTTTTCAAAATTTTACCTGTTATGTGATAGGAATGTATATGTATAGATATGTAAAAGCTGTAATTCCAAATTCATTTGCTGGAATCAGTATTCATAGTTAATAGTTCCCGAATAGCTAAATGGCTAAAAGATGTTGTTATTCCAGATCACTTGTTGAATACGCAATAATAAATAAATGGAAAGGGAATAATGTAAAGTGAATGAAAATAAATACCTCTATTGATTGGCCAAAGGGAAAATATTTTCAAAAGAGAAAACCAAAATCTAATCTGAATTCAGAAAAAAAGTAATGTTGCTATATCTTCAGAAACAGCACAAAACCAATCACTAACTGCTCTTCAATAAGCAAATTGATTAACCTGTGTGGTGGGTTTTCTTGCCCCTTTCTTTGAAGTGCTCTGTACTTGTCACTGCTGGAGACAAGATTCTCGGTTGGTTGTGGCCTTCAGTATCCACAAATAACTTGGAAATTATAAGAAGGGAGACAACACTCTGAATAAACTTGCATCTGTGGTGAACACTGAAGGATGCGGTTCAGTGGCCTCTGGTAGAGCTTTAGCAAGGGCTAAGCTGCGTGGCACTCTGGGCTCAAGGCAATTGTTCCGACGTGAACATATTCTAACATACCTCCTCAACTGAGCAAGATGGACTGTGAATGCTCCCTATGAATTTTCGTGAGGAGAGCAGCCTTGGACAGAGCAATGTAAAACCACTGAGCTTATCAGCTGTGTCTGGCTGGTGCAGTGTCTGGCTGCTGCTATGAAATGCAGTGAGCTAAGAAAATTACAGCTGATAATTAGAGTGGAGTTAAAGCAAGTCAAGGTATGCTGTTGCATTAAACAGTGATCATATGGCACACCATGCTTCATTTTATACAGCAAGTTTAAAGTGGTTTAGACCTTCATGTACCAAGCTGTGTTATTAAATGGAGAATTAATATAAAAACTTAAACCGTGCTTAGCTAACTTCTAAATGTGTGATTGTAATATCAAGGTTCTTAAGGCTCCCCTTTCCTATTCCTCTGTTTCTCTTTGCAAAATGCTTTGAAAATGTGTTAAAAGTGTATCTTTGTACATTCTCAATTGAAAAAGTGTTGAGTTGGGTTTTTATAATTTTGCCATTAGTATCCCTCAGAGTCTTGCAAGTCTTTGCTCCAAGTTGATGGAAAGTTTAACTGCCTGCTGTCCAAAGACTTTGACAAGTTACACCAAATATTTTCTGCTGACTCATGAGAAGAAAAACTTAACTTTGATTTTCTTTGTCATCCTGTAGGAGTATACTGATACTACTAGATTGGCATAACAGCCTGTAAATTCTTGTTTGAATAGAGAATCTTGTGCAGCAGTAAGATTTATTCAGAAAATCAAAACCAATCTTTCGAATTGAGATAATAATTTAACTATTGTACAATAGGTGGACTTTGTAGATAGTGAGGCTGTGCTGTAGACTGTGCCTTCATCTAGGCAATTCTGCTGTTACGTCTTTTAGAAATCTTGAAAAAACAGGTATGAAAACTTCTACAGAGATAATCTATGCAAAATTTGGTTCTACTTTCCTAACACCTTAATGTTAGTTATTGCAGTATGGTTGCCATAGCTCTGTGATAAACACTTTCAGTAGGGTTTTTCAGGACATTTACTTTACATATACGTATCAAAATACCATGTTGCAAGAGGGAGAAGAAAAATCTTTGCCATATATATTCCTAGTACAACAGAAAACTGCAGATACATGCAATGGAACAGTATAGTTTGCCTGCTTACACCTTGGGTGCTTATAGTTTGCCTGCTTATACCTGCCAGGTGATGTGGTGTTAGGAAGTTTCACATGGTATGTGGTACCTTTTAGGAAAAGTAGAGATGAAAGGTGTCATTAATGCAGGTGTTATGGTTAAAGTTAAGAATGTGTAATTAACAGTAGACAATCTAATTCAGAAGGCCTAGTAGGCAGTTAGAGTACCTGTACGTATGTCCTTGTGGTCACTACAATGCCAAATAACATGTCAGCACATTTAGAACTGCCCTTCAACCTGCACCATATTTAGTATATTGCAATAATAAGCCTTAAGAGTAGAAACAACTGTTCTTGTGTCCTATTCCAGCAGAAAAAAACCCTAAATTATTCTCTCTGAAATCTCTTACAAAGAGATCAACCACTGTACCTGAGCAGTATCATGTCAGACTTTCTAGCTTATATTTGTATCTACCTATAGTTACTGAAATGCATATACTCTTTTAACCGTTTATTTGTTCCATTGCAGGTAGTTCATTCGGATTTTATATCAAGGAAAAGCTTTTTGGTTCGGCCAAATGAAGACAACTGTGTATTTGAGAAAATAAGAGAAGAAGACCTGTGATAATTTAGTTGAGATACTCTCTTTCACAATGAATTATCTGTGGGTAATAAACTCACTACTGAAACCTTGAATTATAAGGGCAAAAAAAAAAAAAATCTTCAGTGTAATTCCTTGCTTTTGCAGTGTTCTCTTAGTATTTAAAACTTTAGTGAGCCAGTTTGAACGGGCACTGAGAATCTGGAGATGTTTTGCATACATGCTTTTTTTTTTTTCCCCTCAGACTGAAAGTGTTAGGGCACAAAGGGGCTAGTTAATTAGAAATGGTGCTATGATGTTAGAGGAGGGGAAAGTATTTACATGTCAGTTTATAATGTTTTTGTCACTATTGGTGTAATTAGTGTGATGGCTGAGTAGGCTCTTGCCACCTCGAGAGTGTCTGGAAAAGGCAGATATTTCATGTGATCATTCCCCTTACCAGGATCAGTCCTTCTTTTCAAGCAGAACAGATCTGTGGTGCCCTTACTGACCTGCTGAGGTACCATCGGTGCAGGTTCAAAGGATGCTGTACTTCGGAGAAAGAAGGTATTAATACACTCTCTAGCACAGGAGGGGGAGGGCTGCCAGCTGAATGTATGTAACTGCATCAGAAGCTGAGCTGGTTTATACTGGTGCTGCTGGGGCAAGCACCTACCTGCTGTTGTTGGATAAAGGTCAACACAGCATTAACCCCGTCACTGCGTTGTTTGCTACTGCCAGAAGACTAAAGTGCCTAAACCGTGCTATTCCATATTATGTACCAGGTTTGAAAGATCTTTGATTCTTCTTCCTGTCTTTGCTCTGAAAGGCAGGATCAGGTGTGAGAACCAGAACCACAGAGGAAGGAAGTGGAAACATTTTTTTTAAAAAGCCATACTAATACTTTTGGGTAGGTCAAGTAACTTCAGCCCTTCCACTACACCCTCCTTTTTTTGTTGTTGTTTGGGTTTTTTTGTTGTTGTTTGGGTTTTTTTTGTTGTTGTTTGGGTTTTTTTGTTGTTGTTTGGGTTTTTTTGTTGTTGTTGTTTGGGTTTTTTTGTTGTTGTTGTTTGGGTTTTTTTGTTGTTGTTGTTTGGGTTTTTTTGTTGTTGTTGTTTGGGTTTTTTTGTTGTTGTTGTTTGGGTTTTTTTGTTGTTGTTGTTTGGGTTTTTTTGTTGTTGTTTGTTTGTTCCTCTTCCCCATTTACTTAGTCACAGAACCTTGGTGCTGAAGAGACTCCCGGTGTGGAGGAACGATATACTCCTCCCTTAAATTTTAGCTTGCTGATTTTGTGGTGTTAGGGGGGTAGCGCACAGAGCAGTGTCGAAAACAAAGCTCCCCTGAGAGGCGGAGTTTTGACGGTTTTGTGGCGTTTCCTTTATTTAACGAAACCAGACAACTGTTAAAATTTTTGGATTTTTTTTTTTCTATCCATAAATCAGAGTCCTCTTCATTAAAGCTGTTGCCCCCTTTCCAGCGCGGGGGACGGGGTGCCCGCTGCCCTCCCTCTCCTGGCAGAATTCATCTTCCCCACACACCAACTCGGGGGGGGGGCAATAACCCCAAACGCTAAACCAGTGCTGGAACCAGCCGCCCGGCGGTGGCGGCGGCCTCCGCCCAGCAGGGGGCGCGCGCGGCCGCCCGGCTGGCGCTCTGCCTTACCCCGCCCTCCCGCTCGCTCGTTCGACCCCCGCGCCGAGCCGCCGCCGAGGGGCAGGTACGGCGGGGGGGGTGTGTGTGTCTGCTCGTCGTTCTGTCCGCGGGGTCGGTGGGCCTGTGAGGAGACGGGTGGGGGGGGTGTGTGGCGGGCCCGGTGCGGAGCGAGGGGTGAGGGGCGGCTCCCGCCTCGAGGCCGCGACGCTGCCGCCGGAGCGGCCCCTGCGCTGCCCCCCCCCCCCCCCCCCCCCAGCCCGCCGGCGGGGGGGGAACCGGCGGTGACAGGCACCGGAGGCGGGGGCGGGCCTGAGGCCCGGTGAGGTGGAGCGCGGCCGGTGCCGTTTCGGGTGGGAGAGGGCGGGTGCGCTGCCGGGCTTGCCGCGGGAAGCGGCTGCCCGGCTGGTAGGCCGCTCAGCAGCGCGCAGCCCCTGCGGCGGTGCTGCTTTTCGTCGTACTTTCTAGGAGAAAGCAACGAAGATAAGTGAAATTAAAAGACCGTGCGTATTTTCGGCAGAAGAGCTGTTTTTCACCTCTCCTCAAAACTGGCTTTGATAAAGTAATTACTGCGTTTAAGGGAAATGGAGTGGTTATCTTTTTTCTAGACAGCGCTAGAGCTTTTGACCAGCTGCTGCAAAGGAAATTGTTATTGTGCTGAAAAGATAGGGGTAGCACCTGAATTGTAAAGAGGATGGGAAGTAACTAGAGACAAACTATGGTGAGTAATATTGAAAAGAAAATCCATTAAATCTGAGTATAAAACATTGTAAAATTAGTTCTTTGAAGATCTGTCTTGAGACCAGTCTTACTGAATATTTAATAAAGATCTTGATGTAGCAATTAAAACTTTACTGTTTTAATTTGGTAGTGATGAAGGGCTGGGAGGCATTGGCAATATAGAAGAGGGTTACAGTACTGCACAGAAAGAATTGGGTGATTCTGAGAACTAGAGTGTGAAATAAATGCCATAACAATTTAAAGAACAAGGGTTTGCAGTTGCAAACTCATAAGCACACAATTTACAGAAGAAATTCTTACCAGTTAAAGGCAACATGAAATAAAAATGTGTGCTAGGTGGTTACAAGTTACATAATTGTGGAAAATGTGAATGCTGACCTACTATGACCCAGAAAAATAAGTTACTATTATCCATGAATAACACTCCATAATACTTTGTGTAATGTTAATAATTCTCAGGTAAAATGGTAAAGTGGAACAGATGCAGGAAGACGTGCCTAGGACAGGTAGGGAAGTTAAGAACCTGATGAAAGAAGCATTTGACTTTTTTAGTTCTGCAGGATAAAGGCCCTTTTTGCATTCTGTTGAACCATCAAGGTAAACACTCTGAAGGGAATAAATTGAGCCAAAGAGTGATGTTGATACATGAATAATTTAACATAGATTTTAAGAGTAATAATGTATCAAAATTTCTAACCATCAGAAAGCACTGATGTTCAGGAGCAGCCTTCCAAAAGGTGAAGAAGGAGCAAGAACCCAACACTTTTGAGATGAAATGTGACTGGTTTGTAAAAGTAATGCTATTGTTTGCTGCAGTAGGGGACTAAACTTAGTGTTATCTGTAGACTTTGGATCTGTTTTTCTTTTTTGTTTGTAAAATAGATTATTAACAAGAACTTGCTGAATGTGGTTTTTAGAAGAAAAATATTTACAGTAATGTCTGCAGTCTGAAGAGTAGGATTGGTGACAATCAGAAAATTACACTGACTAGTTGGTCTCTTTTTGAGTTGAAGAGAAGGTATCGGAGCGTAAGGCAAGGTGAGTTGAAAGCTGAAGTGTAGTATGTGCATCTGCTGTTTTCTTACCAGAGGAATGTTAGTTTGCCTCTGCAAGAGGAGACTGTAAAAATCAGTTCTGATCCACACTCAGTTACAGGTTTCCCCTCAGCAGGTTTTAGAGTTGCCTTGTCAGCAAGAGTGAGGGATTCAAAGTTGACTGTATTATCCCACCTCATAGTCTTGTGCAGTTAATTTCTGAATACATGTGGCCTTGAAGTCCTCATCTGCAGCCCAGGACCCGAGATGCCCAGTCATCCAAGGAGTGAACTACTAGTGGCTCTTGTAGGGATTTGGGTATGCTGGAATACTGAGGGCTGTTTCTCTTTTCTTTTGACCAGTCTGTCAGTTGGTTGCCTCCCATATCTCAGTTGTGGATGCTCCACTTGTAGATGGGTCAGATAAAAGGCACATAAAATATTTCAGAGGGCACTGATTTATACATATAATGTGAAAAGCATGATCCCTGATTCATTTAGCTTTCTGTAGAGGCCATTTGTAGCATGCTGTTAGTGTAGATGATGGGCCTGTCTTGAGTGCATGGGCCTGTTCCACCAAATGTCAGTCCTCGGTGTTTACTGAGATTCTGCTGTCACCTAAGTCAAGGGCACAAATACTGAAGTGTTCAGATTTGTTGTGGTTTGCTTTACTATTTAAAGATAACATTTACTAAATAGATGGAGAAAAGTTTTATCTGGCGCAGTACCTCACTGAAGCCATACCTATGCTTATAGAACCTAGGTTCTGGCTTTAGTTCATGTATCAACACCACTTTTCCAAGTGGTATTTGTTTCTTTTACTCTATTGATAAAATTTCAGTTGACTAAATGGAACAGAGCTGCTTAAACACCAGTTTTATCACTGAGCAAATTTTTCACATCCAAGTAATGTAGCTACATTAGTGGAATTTTATAACATAATCTCAAAGGCGTAAATCTTTTGGTGTTTGTTGATGGGGTTATAATCTCCAGAATGCTCAAAACCAGGAATAATGGTGACAGAGAAGGGGCAGCAGCGCATTTCAGGGAAGGCTCCTGGTATACGGGTTTCCCATGGGTGGTGTAGAGTGCTTGTCTGTCTTATTCACATTTTTTGTGCACAGAAGCATATATCTGTCTTTGCTGTGTGTTAGCATGTAGAGACTGATTCTATGTGAATTTGGATACATTTTTAGAGGTTTGCTACATCTAAGTCTTGCCAGCTTTCACTGAAGTTTGCTGATTAGGATTGTAGATGCAGGTCATGTGATTTATATAGTCTTACTTTTCAGGAGGCATTAAAAAAAAAGTACCCTACCAGAGGCTTTTGTTGGAGACTGGGTGCTTATAGCATAAAAGAAATTTCTTACATGCAGTTGAGTTGAAAAATTAAAAAGAGCAAAAATAAATTACCAAAAAGAAGAAGGGGGCAGAAGGGTGGCACCAGAGCTTCAGCATACACGAAGGTAAGATGATGCCTTGAGTAGCGTAATCTAAGCAATGCTCACGTGGTGCTGAACTCACAACTGGCAGCCACCACTCAAGAAAAAGCTCTTGGAGTCATCATTGACAGTTCCCTGAAAACTGAAGCTCAGTGTGCTGTGGCAGCCAGAAAGTCAGGAAAATGGTGACTGTCCTCAGGGAGGCTACCGAGAAAAGATGGAGGGAACCATTTTGCTGCTCCAGCTTGGTGCACCCACGTCTGGGGTAGGGTGTGAGGTTCTGGTCTCTGCGTTTGCAGAAGGATACAGTGGGTTAGAGAAGGGCAACTGAAAGGGCCAGGGGATCTGCTTCCTGAGAGACTGGGAAGCCAGGATTGTTTACATTAGAGAGATGACTGGGGTGTGATCAAGACATAGGAAATTAAGGCAGTGGATAAGGTGAGAGTTGTTAATCCAATCTTGCAGCATTGGAATGGGGGTTGCTTGCTCGGGCTGGTGGGAGGGTGGTTTCGGGTAGGGACAGGGAAGAACTTCCGTGGGGGTGGCAGGAGGAGCTGTGTGGGCAGGTTCAGGAAGGGATTAGAAAAGCTGGTGGACAAGAAGTTCATTTAAGGGGCTGCTACAGGGAGTAGTCAGGGAGGTCCCTGATGTGACAGTAGTGTCTGCTGGTGTGTGTTTGGGCAGTGTGTTGCAGAAAGCAGCCAGGCTCATCTGCTCTCCTGAAGAAGGATCTCTTGTTGCTACTGTTGAAAGCAGAGTGCTGGGTCAGCTGGATCAATCTGATTCAGGACAGCAGTTTTTATGAAGTTAATGATCAGTCTTTTCACTGGAGGAATTTTAGTTCTGCAAGGTTAGGTTTTGGATTCTGAACTGTTAAAATTTCCATGAACAGCCTAGAAAAAAGGCAGTGAGCAACAAGGTGATAGTGTTTGCCAATGACCTGGGTAGTAAAGATAAGGTCAACTATGAAAAGCTGTAGAAGGACTGTATAAGACTGGGTAACTGGATAATATAACATAATGGCACATGAACTCAGTGTAGGTAGAGCGATTCAGGTAGAGTAAAAAGAATCCTGACTTCCCATATGAAATACTGGGCTCTTAGAAATGAGCAGTATTTTGTAGTTACTATGAATGGTTCCATGAAAGTGTAACCACAATGCTGAGCAGCAGTCAGAAAGGTAAATCAGATAATAAATATTGTTGGGAAGCAAGAACAAACAAAAGAATCTTGTCACACCTCTGTGTTAATCCATGGTTCACCTCAAACACCCTGTGTGGTTCTCCCTGTCCGTCTCCCAGCTCGGAAAGCAAATAGTAAAGATGAGTGAGAGTTGGAGAAGCAAAACAGGAATGGTCAAAGACACAGACCTGCCTTCCATATGAGGAATGACCAAGAAAACTGGGACTCCAAAATTCATCCTGGAATGGATTCAGAGGAGGATATGGTGAAGGCCCGTAGAATCATGAGTGGCATGAAAAGAATGGGCAGGGGCCAACTGTCCGTTCTTCCATCAGGAGAACTGGGGGTCCACAAGTGAAGCTAACAAGGCCCTGATTCAGCAAGATCAAAAGATGGGGTTCCTCACATTGAGTTGGAGAACTTATTAGAGTATGTTGTGGATATTAAAAGTGTGTTATATTGTGGATATTAAAAGTGTGTGTGCGTTAAAGAGGAAGATGGGCAGATTCATGGGGGGGTGAGGGGGAACGGCACTGAGGGGTGCTAAATACATAGGAACCCCATCCAGCTGAGAAAGATTTTTTTTTTTTTTTTTTTTTTTTTTTTTTGAGTGGAAAAAGCAGTATTACATATGCCTGCCCTATTCTACTTTTTTCCATGGCCTTTGCTTTTAGCCACCATTTGAAAAATGTTACTAGGCTTAAATGGACCTTTGCTGTCATCTGCTGTGGCTACTGTTATGTTAGCTTCTTACTCACAAGAGTAATAATTTACATGGACTTTCTTCTGTACAGTTTCTCTTCACCCTTTCTCAAATAGAACTGACTACCACCTGTCAAACCTTTTTAAGGAAACATGGGTTTTGCTGTTCATTGTCTTGACGCCAGCTTTCATGTTGAACATTGATTCTTTTACAGATACATTACTAGCATTTACTAAGTTTTCTAAAGACAGAAGTTTTCCATGTACAAGTGATGTCTTTTGTTTCTAGGCTCAGCAGGATCCATTGATGCAATTGGTAAACATCAGTTGAGCTATTTCACTCTTGGGTTCCATAATTACAGTTTCAAATCCATTTCATGTCTTTCCAATCATCTTCTGTTACATTTTTGGTCAATTCCAGCCTCTGTGCAGATCAGAAGCTTAAGGGTGGCCTCCCTGATTCTCCTCAGACTTGTGAGTTGTCCTTGGAACCTGTAGACAGCTGATTTACCCCTTACTTTCAGTCCCTTAAGACACAGCGTTGGGCAGACACTAGTACTACAGGTTTGCCTACACGGAGATATTTTTTGAGCCTAATCATGGTGAAGTAACTATGAAAAA